ACTTTCAGGCGAGGTGAAAGGGGATTTAATGGGAAAAGCACTAGGCAGGGAGACAACAAGCACTTTCTTTTAACAATGCTTTTTTTATGATACAGCCAGGGGATGGAGCCACCGACCTTCCACTCTCTAGGCAGACCATGGCGGCGGTATATTGACTTTTAATCAACAATTCATTAAATAGGAATTCAGGTAACAGACAACTATATAACCCATACCTGAAGCAAATTTACTTGTAAATATGAACTTTAGTGAATTTGTGAAGCTCATACACATAGGTGTGTTTGTTGTTCAATGCCGCACTCAGCAATATTCCAGCTATATGACGGGGGTCTGTAAATAATTGAGTCTGGACCAGACAATTCAGTGATTGACATCATGAGCATCGATCCACACAATTGGGATACGAGTACATGCATCAACCAAGTCAGTGAGTGACCACCCGATCCCGTTAGTTGCCTCATACGACAAGCATTCGCCTTTTACGACAAGTATTCATACACATACGAGTATGAGAAGCTGTAGTATGCACTGCTCTTAATATGGAGCATGCTTTGCTTGGGAACATTAACAGGTGAAGGACATGTCTGGGTCACCATTTTTAGAGACACACCATCTACAGGTGTCGGTGTAATATGACAGGACTGGCAAGGACAAAGCAAACATTATGCACTATGAAGTATACAATGAGGCTACTTAAAAGACTAAAGTCCACTCAAACATGTTGGTTCTTCTTTCTTCAAAGGGTAAAGGGCTCATATTACATTGCGTCATGTGTACAGATTATATTGATCTTTCCTGTTCAAACATTTTATCATAAAATTAAATTTAGTTACATGGTTCCTGGCTTTTGAACATTGCTGAAGGAGGAAAATGTTTAAGCTTATAAATCATGTGCATATGGTAATTTACTTCAAAATTTACAAAAACTGATAAGCATTTCACAATACTGATAAACAAGTGATACTGATGTCAAAGTCAGTTCTTATTTCCTCAGTCAACAACTAACATTGACTGTTATTAACTAGCTATAAAGCAGGAAAAGCTCCAACCCTGCAACCAGACGTCTCCAAAATAGTCACCCCCTAGGGAGCTTTGACAAGGGATAACAATAAACACAGGACCCACTGAACAGGTTTTCTTCCAATACTCTGCCCACCCATGACAGGTCACCTGGATCAAACAAGGGTAGCAGAGCTAGGGAACATGGAGGCAGGATATAGGATGAAATAAGCCCCACAGTATCCCCCTTATTGTGATAGGACTGTGTCGGGTCCAAATGAATTTTCTGGTCATTGAATACTCAATAACACCCACAAATTTCAAACCACCAAATCTACATCTGCTGAATAAAACAGTGTTCAAAATGCAAGGGGCTCCTGGGGTATTATCTGAGGTATTTGAATCATTCAATCTAGGGTCCCTCAAAATCTGAAACACACACACACGCATACTCACACGTATATATTCTTTTAGTATCCTTTAATGATGGGATATTTCTCCAAACAAACCAAACAATTTTAATGCCTTATTTCCTGTATATTATCTTCACCAAACAACCCTGCTGCATATTATGCCGTGACAAACCACAGCTAATGGTCATCAGTATCTGTGAGCCACCATGCCCATGAGCTGATGTTTTCATCCCACTCTGGTGAGAAAAGTGTTGTTTGTGTACCGCACAGGTCAATGTTTACACACACAGGAGATAGCGAGATGCCTCTGCATGCTCGCCCTTACTGGGTCTATGTTAGATTAACGCTGATGGGTCTAAAACAAGGATCTATCAGCCATAATATTAAACTTCTATTAGCTGTAACAATAGTGCAGTGCCTGACTGCAAATGGTTGTTGATGACAACTTTCCTATCCTAAACAGGCTAAATGGTAGCAAAAATTCCAGATTGTTTAGGTGTAAAATCAGGGTTAAGGTCTTTGCCTTTGATAACCCATTTTTTCATAAGCTATTCCCCATCTTCCATCAGTTCACTAAGGAATGCCTCTTATTGTGTGCATTAAGTATTTGTCAAGTCATATCACAACTGGGCTTCAAACCAAGATCTCTCAAGTCCATGCTTGAATCGCAAGCCTACCCTAACACTGTCATTGTGAAATTCAGGGGTATGAGTTCGCACGAAATAAATATTTCATTCCCCTAAATCCCATGACAACTGAAACATTTTAACATCAAACAAACACTGAAAGACCATGACAGTCACAATACATTATGTACCATTTCAGCAAGCTTGCCACAGTTCAGTTAAATTCAACCTATATAATTTGTCACAGAACAAGTCTAGACATCTGTCTAACAGCAGAGAACGACAGGTAACTGCTCATATTCCAGTAAGTCAGAACAACCCAAAACTAATGATTCCATTATGGCTGACGTGTGTCGTCAGTGACACCGTAACTGTCTATCTCACACGGAGTCTACTGATCATGCTGATGGCTGCATTGCTGGCTTTCCTGCTACATGCATTACATTAGTAGTTTTTATATTCCGAGTAACTGTATTCTGAGTATCACAGTTATGCACAGTACATGGTGGCGTAATGACTCTCAAGATATGCCCCAGACAGAGTGTCTTAAGAGTTGCATTTATGTTTTAGGGTGTGGTTGGAAACTGTGTGTACTGGACTTTCTCTTCTTCGCTAACACTCAAATAGAGAGTTTGAAACTAATTAACTGACCATATGTTTTTCATACCAAATCATACAAAGTTCCAAGTACACATATCAAGGTAAAGTTCTTTGTTTCATGTATTAACACATCATAACACTGTACTATTTACTATCAATTACAATCTATTCCATTTCATTTGAAGTAAGTTACTTCTGAATACAGGATGCCACTTTATTGGAGCTGGTTTGTTTGTTTGTTGTTTATCGCCGCACTCAGCAATATTCAAGCTATATGACAGCGATCTGTAAATAATTGAGTCTGGACCACACAATCCAGTGACTGACATGAGCATTGATCCACGCAATTGGGATACGATGACAATCATCAACTAAGTCAGTGAGCTTGACCACCCGATCCCATTAGTCGCCTGTTACGACAAGCATAGTCGTCTTTTATGGCAAGCATGGGTTGCTGAAGATCTATTCCACCCCGAGTCACTTTTATTTACTTAAACTTAGATAACTTGTGTTTATCACTTAGAAATGGAAAGTAAACATAATTCCCTATACATGACCAGCATGAATTACGAATATCAAAACCCCCATAACCATGATAACATTCCAAGCCAAAAAAATCACTCCTTTTAAAAACATTCACTGTAAGCTAGACTGAGGGAGCTATGAAAGTGACAGGTTGTTGCCTCTGGAGTAGACTAATGTGTCAAAAGTTGAAAGTGATGGATTGAGTCTCAACCCACAAACATGATAGTTGTATTTGGTGAGGAAGTCCGCACATTGGCTTGAAGCCTTAACAAGATGGGCAAGTATTACCTGACAATAGGGCACTGACCGTCATGTCAGTCAGACACCATGTTGCATGATGCACTGCAGGATTCTGGGAAACAACTGCCACTACATGGGATATCAAACAAACATATGTACCATAATACTAGTTTCCTGTGTGTCAATTGCATTTTTTTTAATTGAACCCATACACTGTGCATGACAACTGAGCACACCTACAACTGGGCTACCTCACTTCAACATGAACTGACACTGGTGGCAACATTAAGTTTATCAAAATAAAATGTCAAGGAGGTCTTGTTATAACCCTCAGGTAAATGTTATGGGGTTATCATGACCATAGTTCCAAACATTATAAAGACTCCCCGTTATTTCTAACACTGGCTGACCAATAAAGACCACTTTCCAAAATTATTACAAATGTAAAACATCCAACGAAAAAGTGAATCTTCTTCTAATAGTTTTGCCTTATATAATGCTATACATCTGAGTGAGAAGTAAGTACAATCCTAATTACAGGTCTAAAATACCTGTTTATGTCATTGTCAGCAGCTTGCAAAATTTCTCCAAATTACTCTACACGCCCACTTCAGTCCAGTTTGGAGTGTGTGATAATTAGGGGGAGGTAACCCATTCATGCAAGACAATACCTGTCATACTACACGTACAATAACATTATTACATAAGAAGACCATTCATGTTTTTCATTCCAGAATCCAAACTCTTTTAAAGTAGAAGCAAATTCTACAAGTTCACCACTTGGCCCAAATAAGTGACACGATAGCTGACAGCCATCCTGTATCTACAGGGAGTCAGGAGTTGTGGAGATAGTGGACACTAGCCTCATTGTGAAGGAATGCTAGAGAACAGCACTTGCTACACTCCTACTCTCACAGCCTCACACTGAAATTCCACACCAACAGTCGCCTGTCCTGTATCAACAGATCCATTCTCCCAGCCTAATGACTGCATATGTTATTGCTGGAGTTTTGTCAGAGGTTTACAAATGCTACTGACCTTGTACAGGATTCAAGCATACAACAATTAGATTGTTTGATTATGCAACTAAGTATATGCTTTATATATCCATGCTTAGGCTAACAACTGAAGCAACAAAACCTTGAAGTTTTCAGTCAAGCAATTAAATGGCCAAGTTTTCCAACTATCAAGACTTTGATAAGAAATTTACTGGATTATATTTTTTATATTTTCAGTGCAAGCCCATAATGTTTACTCGACCAATAGTGAATACATTATCTGTTTGATGTATACCTTCTCATACTGATGTATACCTTCTCATACAACCCAGCAATTTATGTTAAAGATGACTAAAAGTGATGTTTATCAAGATGACCGACGGCAAGGGATATCTGGAGGCATGTTGACCCATACTTGCAGTGTACATACAATCAGCTGTGTACAGTCAAGCGTAACAGACACAAACCATAATACGACACCAAATGCTTAATATTCATCAAAGTGTCACTGAAGCATAACAAATGACGACTGACTCTGCTCAGCCAATGTCTAACCACAAGAGGCGACAGTAGATTCTAAGGCTATTGTTGTGCCTTACCTTGGAGCATACTCCTGTATGCTGTGTCAGCAATAGCAAAAACGTGGGGGGGCACTTCATGTCTCTTCTTCCCTTTGTACAATTCTATCACTTTGTCAGTATAGATTGGCAGTTTTTTATATGGATTCACAACCACACAAAAAAGTCCAGAGTATGTCTGCAATAAAAAAATTCCATTTGTGTTCAATAACATTTTTTAAGACACGACATTCATTATTTTAAAAAATAATATGAAAGTTCAACATTTATCACTGTTTATGCTTCAACAAGCAAGCCAATACCAAATTTTCTCAATGAAGGAATATTAATCATAATAATTTTAATATGTAAAAAAACCCACAATTTTAACAATTTGTATTCTGGTCATATTTTGGGGATGGTGGTTAGGGGCGGGGATAATTTATCTAAATCTTCTTTCAAACATTTTCGTCAGCATGAACATTTGTCCTTATTGCATGTATTGATGACCTTGAGTGGCTTCAAAACAGAACACCTACTTCAATGTTGTTCACTGTCCAAACAATTTACCTGTTAGTGTCTATGAATAAGTAAAGGTGAGATTATTCTAGTACACTTGCAACTATGTAGCAAATGGTTCTAATTTGCAAGCCAACAACAGGAGAAACAGACTTAATGTTTTAATCAATCTAAAAAAATGTAATGAAGGGTTACACATTTTTTTTAATAGATCTCAATACCATTTAAATATTTTGTTTTGCAAAGTTTAACTCTGCATAAAATTCAACTGAAAACAAACTGTTTGCTTAATTTGCAAAGTTGCATAACTGAATGGACAGATCAAATTACTCAAATGACAACAATAATGCCATTGTTGGATTGGTCAACAGGTTCGGTCAATGCCCCTTTTTATCTCTCAAATGACCCCCCCCCCCCCCCCCCCCCCCCCAAGAATCTCAACAAGGGATGCTTATTTCTCAACAGGAATGCAATCAATCCTGAGATAAGGTTGACAGTAACCAAGGAACATGTGCCTGTGATTTCGCCAGGCTTAGCAATGGCAAATGCTTGCAATATCCTAAGAGGGGATCTCTCAATAGGGGTTTTCAATGAATAAGGGAGAGAAACAGACTGTTCTATTTTTAGATCTCTTAATGACTAATGACATCATCGGATTATATTTTCAAAATGACGCCTTCACCACGTTCACCTACTAATTAAACTTAAATTAATTTTAATGAATATCTGTTATGTACTATTTTTTTCATCCGTAGAATTATAAGGTTGTTGGGGAAAATAATAAAAGACAGTTTCAGGACTTCTATCTCATACACAACTCAGTACCTTATGCTAATAATGTAACACTCTAGCACCATATGACAAACGCATTTCCTTGAGCTGTTATTAATTATGGATTGATGAGCTAGAGAAATCAAGTTTAAAAGAAAAAGACTTGGTTTTTTTAAATCAGTCTGAACTTTCAGGTGAAGCAGCCCAACTTCCTGACAGCAACCTCGAATGTTATCAGCATCTGCAGGGATGTTTAACTGCATGGTCAGTCTCAATCAATATCTGACTATCAAGGTGTGATTCACTGATAGTGACCTCATCCCTACATGATCAATGTATCATGTGTCTCATATATATACATCTGTGACATCACATTTAATCAAACATATATACATATCACATGTGAATTGTTCTTTTCTGGAGTGATTATTTCAAAGCAGTATCTTCAACATGTGGTAGATCTCTATATAGATAAATAACATAACGAAATGTTTTGGGATCAACCTGCATAATGATTATGAATCTTCCATTGTATTCGGCATACATCAATTTTTGATATTTGGGATGGGTGACACGCTCAATTTACTGCTAGGTTCTTAACTGGTACAACAACATGCAGTGTACACCTTTGCGATATGATAAAGGTTTTATTACGGTAACTTTATAAAAAATCATCACCCTACTATTACAGGTAACCTAGGAGTTCAGAACTGTTTGAAATGTAACATTGTCATGACCGTGTTGTTCTGCATGTTGACTCAGTGTCAACTTGCATAGAGTATATTACTTACATATATCAAGCCTGAGTAATACCTGTCCTTCAAATTGTGAAGAACAGATGCTTCGTTAAGACACGTCAATTCGGCCATGTCTTCAACTTTATTAAATTTTGGTGGGTTCATTTTTTGAACATCATCTCTGTGGACGAGCGATTTTTTTCCTGTTTCTTCCACCACTACTTCGAACTGGTCTCCTTTTTCTGATTTTACAACAGATGCCACGAATCCATGTGCCTCGTCGGGGATCCATACTAACTTTTTCGCTGACCACTCCGCTTGTAGAGATGGATCATTGACTATATTTCTGTCTATGGCCAGGTATCGCAACTCCTGCGCGCTTAATCCAGCAAAAGAGTCTTCCGCCATTTTGGACACTGGTGTGCGAGTTCCGGCGAAGTATCAACACTGCAAACAACTCAAATACACGAACAACAAGCAACACCACAGTAAATACAAATCCCAAATGTGCACAGTTTCACAGAATTGTATGTCCTTCCTCCAAATCGCTGTTAATTTCAAACTGTCATTATGGCTCGGGACCCTCTCTAAGGTTCCGGTAGCACAATGTGCGCGACTTGGTACGCGTGCTGTGATTGGTCCTTCTTGCCACGTGACACTATGGCACGCCCAACCGAGTGTCACACTTCACTTGAATGTGGCATGGGTGATTTGAATTTTATCGCTATGATGCGTTCTAATGTTATATAAAATATTTATTGATGACCCTTGTACTGTCTTGGTATGTACATCTCGCCGGTAATATTACTTGACATCAAACAAACACGCGGTATTGTCAGTGACGTCATAAAGTGATCTCATATTGAGGTGCAGTAAAGGTGTTTCCTGTTGGACTGGGCCTCAAGCATAATGAATGGAATTCCCCCGTGAAGTGACGACATTTACTTCCATATATGGTCAAAATAGTAAACACTCCACCTTGCACGAATTGTTCTATAGTTCTGCGTCTCTTTATGCGAGGAACATCGTCGACAGTGGCACCTACCTTGACGCTTGTAAAATGTGGGCGTGGCTTGCATATTATGTCATTTCTACTGTTTCATTGATAATGAACAACATTATCAACTTATCACTTTTATCAACATACACAAAAATGCAAAGTAAGACTAACGTTTCATATGAAAGTTTGTATATTATAAATGTTTCATTTATAATGAGCTAGAGCTGATAATCTACAAGTGCTAAAGTTCTGATCATAAATCAAGAAACCTAACAATATACATGTTTCGTTTGGGAGAAATTGAAAACTTTATCAATTCTTCTTAATGCGGATTTTTCTGATGTTTAGTTACATAACAGTTTCTGTATTTCTTTGATGTCCTTTGTAATTATACAGAGTCCACCAAAGAAGACCATAATCGCTTCAAGAATGCCAGTCAATTATCACAGGAAATGTGTATTGTATAAAAGTGGTCATTATGCATATCGCTGCGAGCAGTTTCCCACTTAGCTTATCTAAAGGTAATGTTGCGTCATATGTACCGTGCTCCAATTAATTTCACACCCCTATGTAGGCAATCACTCACGTCAATAATCAATCAACTTGTTCATGTTAATGCACATAACCCACGGGTTGTTGTCGGGAGACATTGCGTCGAAGGAAGTAATACATAAACAGGGAGACATGGACACCCTCATATAAGCCAGTGAACCAATCGACATGTATTGAGGTCGTTACAGCCGCTGACTGGGTTCAGTGTGAAAAATTAAACGGTTAGGCATGAACAAAATTGTATTCGAAGTGAGACTTACTTGACTATATTGAAAATACTCCTCCACCTACCCCAACAAAAGTGCAATTGTTTTAACGCGCACCCGTAAACGTAGTTTCACTTCAGCCTCTGAATATGAAACAACATAAAACATTACTGTTATTGTAGTAAGTGGAATGTGTATTCTTAACTATCTTGTTCCAATTCCGTGAATTTTATTCATACCATTGGCGAAGAATATGTTTTTCATGACTTTATTATATTGCTTTAGATGACTAAATCAGCTTATTTTCAGCACATCATAAGGAGCACTGTCCAGATCTTACGAAATTTCTGCAAAACCACTTCTTTGTTAGTTCGGATATGGCAGTTAAAAATGCAATTGGTATGATATACACAATGCATATATCCATTCGTTTCAAAGTATACAGTGCTTCCCTTGTTTGAAAGATCGTGTATATATCCTCTTCTTTGCTTAACGTAAAATCAATTACCTGCTATTTATTCCTATCATGAAGTAGATTTATGTTGTGTTCCATGCACTATGAACCTAGTGTTAATGTCAATAGTTAACAGACATTAACCCTAGTTTGACTGCAATAAATATTTGACAATGGCCACATATATTTATCCTAATGCATTGACGACGCGACGCCAGTTGAGTTCCGGAAACAAACACATGTCACTTGTCACTCCTTAAAACAGGTAGTGTTTGGCTCAGTACGCCCTACCTAAAGTGAAGCTAGAATTGGATTGCCCTGAATCATAAACATTCCATCTTATTGTGTTGACGCTGTACAGTCAATGGTAAAAAGTATTACATTCCTCAGGTGTGCGCGAAGTTAAAATTTACGGCTTATGTGTCATCTATTTGACAACAATTGTGTGATATTTCTTATGCTTGAGTCAACATAAATTGTAAGTAGCTCTACGCGTAAGGCTCGTTGTTTTTTTTTTAAAATAAAAAATAACAAAAGTGATAAAACAATGTGAAAATAGTCACGCTTAAATGGTCATCAACAATCACTTTAGAGTTACCTCCCCTATATAACAGTCTGAAGTTGTTGAGCAACTGCAATGGGTTTCGTGTATTTATCGGCACAATATTTATGTGCTACTCGTGGTAAATACCGATTTCAATATGAAAAAATACATAATCTTCTGATATTTGTTATTGGTTAACATTTGACATATAGGGCATATCGTAAATATTTTAGCTGTGACGACCAGGCACTGTTAAAAATACATGCTATATACATTGGATGTGTACTTGGTGTTTCGAATTCATTTCATAAGTGCCTGCGTACCAACTCTCGTTAAATCTCTTGATAAACGTTTTCTCACTGACTTGTTTCGGGTTACATTCGTTTGTTTTATAACACGTGGTCTTTATATATTTTTTATTGAGTGAGTATGGTTTTACTACGCTTTCAGCAACCATCCCGAAATATCATGGAGGAGGACACTAGAATTGGGTTTCACACGTTGTACCCATGTGAGGAATCGAACCCGGTCCTTCGGCACGACGAGCAAACGCTTAACCACGAGACTACCCCACCGCCCCTAGTTTATTGGGGACTGACTTCATCACGGAGTGGTATACCTGTGGGTGATACTGATAGCTTGAGGCGACGTCGTCGCGGCACCTCCACGGCAAGGAAGGCTGGTGTCTTCCCAATGTGCCTATAGTCCCATTGTGCCTACAGTAAAATGATACGGCCTGATGCTCAGAAAGTGATGCACGAGTGAACATGGCTGTGACCTGTTTTACCTGATAAAACGGGTGTGTATTTCGACAGATATCGGGAGCCCTTCTCAAGGGTATATATTGTCAGTTAATAAAAACGCGCGCGCGCGCGTGCGTGCGTCTGTGTGTGTGTGTTAAGGTATCGGGAACCAGTAATAAAACACGTGTATGTATTTCGTGATTGTGTTAGTCCTTCACACTTGTGCAGGTGTACATTGTCAGTTAATAAAACAGTCATGTGTATTTCAAGATGTATGTAGTGAGTCCTTCTCACAGGCATAAACATTTGTCATTGCCCAAATTGGTGTGTGTGTGGGTGCGCGCGCGTGTGTTTTAAAGAACAAACATGAATGCACCTTTGTGAGTGAGAGAGACAGTGTATGTGCGTGCGTGCGTGCGTGCGTGTGTGCGTGTGTGCGTGTGTGTGAAACGGGGGATTATAACACAGGTCTCTCTCTCTCTCTTTCTCTCTCTCTCTCTTGAGATGGAAGTTCGAGAAAACAGTTGTTCGTTTTGCATACTAATCTTGGTAAGGTTTACATATATTGAACATACATGAATTTATCCAAGACATGCTATCATTCAGCCCGGTCATGTCGGACATGTTATTAATTATACACCTGGTTGTCGTGCCATATCTGACATACCTACACGTGAACTGCCATATGATGACCTCGCAGTGTCCGGTTACAGGAAATATTTTCCGTTTGAACAACAGTCGACTGTTGTCAGTTGGAGCTAGTTGTCAGGAAGATTCACATTGTGGCTGACAGGGGGACACGATATTACTTCACTCACGTTGCCAGGATAAATGGTCTGCTTGGGAGAACTTGTGGTTGCTTCACGTGGTTTGACAAGATAGATGTATATTGATATACGTGTGAATAATGTACCTATTGTCAAAAGCCGGGCATATTTACATTTACCCCTTTGAATTTGTAGATGCAGTTTCAAGCTAAGAGGTTCCATGTCAGACTGCAAGCAATCTCCTTTGCTTTAACTTACATGCGAATTTCATTTTTCAAATTACTGTGTTTCCTTCTCACTGTATGAAACATCTACTGTAGAACAAATAGGCACTCCTTACACGGTTTCCATCTAAAATAGATTTGAAACAGAGTTGAATAAACTCAAATCATATTACACACTCTTTTATCAAGGGAGGCACGGGTGGCCCTATGCTTGTGGGTTCGAATCCCGGTTCGCCCAAATTATGTTTCTAGGTTTGTCAGCACCATACCCGTGCTCGTGGGTTTCACCGAAGTGGTAAATGTCTGAGACCTGCATCACTTCGGGCTTTCCTCCGACATTAAGCTGACACGCCGTGATATAACTGGAATACTGTTCAAAGCGGCGTTAAACCCAACTCACTCACTCACTTTTATCAAACTGTCGCAGGTAGCGTAAAGAAAAGAGAGGATTTGCAAAAAAAAACAAAGCACAACTCATAATTTTGTGTAAATATTAAAACTCAACATCCAACAGCTTGGAAAAAATAACTCAGCCTCAATAATAAGCTCGTCAATACAGAATATTTCGTGAGCAAAGCCATAATCTTTAAAAGTTGACCTGACATGAGAGATATAAATTATATTAATAATATTCCAAACCATCCATTTCAAGAGGCCACAACAGTTGTTGATTGTGATGGGAAATGACCATTAAGCATCATATACCCTTACCTGGAAACTGACGAGCAAAAGAAACCTTACTAATCAACATTGTTTGTTAAAAAAAACAAAACAACTTAAACATACTTGTAAATGTGGCAAAAAGACACGAATTAACAACTTCATTTCAAGTTACCCCATGAGAATCAAGTTGGCCCAAAATGTACCTTTTTGAAGTTTGATGTGCATCAGTTGTGAGGATGAAGGGTTTGTTTTGGTGGGGATATGCAAAGATGGGGGGAGTTGTAAGGGCTTGCTTTAGCTTTTCGAATGCTTGTTGGCAATTGGATCATTCGAAAGACAAAATAGTTTGCTTCAAATGTGGGATAATACAGGCAAAATGACACATGTCATGGATATTTTTAGAGAGTGGGATCTGTGTGACTGAATCTCTTTTTGAAGGATCACCTTGGATGCCATCTTTGCTGAAGATATGCCCTAA